CTCCCCCCCCCCCAGGCTGGGTGGCCAGTTCTAGGGACATGGTGGCCCCATGGCTGCGTGTGATCTGCCTGGACTCCTCGGACCATGCTCCCCCATGCCCACACCCTGCCCGCCAGGGATCCCCCTCTTACCGACCCCGTGGTGGCAGCGACCAGCAGCTCTCTTCCTTTGTCCACACAAGACACTGCTTCCGGGCGGTTGACTTCCGCTTCCGGGGCAGCGTGGCTCGGCATGCGAGCAAGGAACTCGCGCGGCAGCAGCGGCATGGGACGTGATGACGCATGCGCGGGCTGGGAGGAGGCCGCCACCTGCTGGTAGACACAGAGAAAGACAGCGGCAGTGTATGTGTTCAAACAACCTGAGAGAGAGACCGGGGGAGGGGGGGGGATAATAACTGGGCCTTATAATGTATTTACTGACTGGAGAATAATAACTGGGCCTTATAATGTATTCACTGACTGGGGGATAATAACTGGGCCTTATAATGTATTCACTGACTGGGGGGGATAATAACTGGGCCTTATAATGTATTTACTGACTAGGGGGATAATAACTGGGCCTTATAATGTATTTACTGACTAGGGGGATAATAACTGGGCCTTATAATGTATTCACTGACTGGGGGGATAATAACTGGGCCTTATAATGTATTCACTGACTGGGGGATAATAACTGGGCCTTATAATGTATTCATGACACGGGGATAATAACTGGGCCTTATAATGTATTCACGCGGCTGGGGGATAATAACTGGGCCTTATAATGTATTCACTGACTGGGGGGGTAATAACTTTGGGCCTTATAATGTATTCTCACTGACTGAAAAAGGTAATAGCACAGGCGCTTATAATGTATTCACTGACTGAGGGGATAATAGCCGGGCCTTATAATGTATTTACTGACTGGGGATAATAACCGGGCCTTATATTGTATTTACTGACTGGGGAATAATAACTTTGAGACCTTATAATGTATTCACTGACTGGGGGATAACTAACTGGGCCTTATAATGTATTGTTATTTACTGACTGGGGGATAATAACTGGGCCTTATAGTATGTTACTGACTGGAGAATAATAACTGGGCCTTATAATGTATTCCGCGGCACAGGGGGATAATAACTGGGCCTTATAATATATTCACTGACTGGGGGGATAATAACTGGGCCTTATAATGTATTTACTGACTAGGGGGATAATAACTGGGCCTTATAATGTATTCACTGACTGGGGGGATAATAACTGGGCCTTATAATGTATTTACTGACTGGGGAATAATAACTGGGCCTAATAATGTATTCACTGACTGGGGGGATAATAACTGGGCCTTATAATGTATTCACTGACTGGGGGGATAATAACCGGGCCTTATAATGTATTCACTGACTGGGGGATAATAACTGGGCCTTATAATGTATTTACTGACTGGGGGGATAATAACCGGGCCTTATAATGTATTCACTGACTGGGGGGATAATAACTGGGCCTTATAATGTATTTACTGACTGGGGGGGATAATAACTGGGCCTTATAATGTATTCACTGACTGGGGGATAATAACTGGGCCTTATAATGTATTCACTGACTAGGGGGGAATTATAACTGGGCCTTATAATGTATTCACTGACTGGGGGGATAATAACTGGGCCTTATAATGTATTTACTGACTGGGGGGATAAAAACTGGGCCTTGTAATGTATTTACTGACTGGGGGGATAAAAACTGGGCCTTATAATGTATTTACTGACTGGGGGGATAATAACTGGGCCTTATAATGTATTCACTGACTGGGGGATAATAACTGGGCCCTATAATGTATTCACTGACTGGGGGGGGATAATAACTGGGCCTTATAATGTATTCACTGACTGGGGAATAATAACTGGGCCTTATAATGTATTTACTGACTGGGAGAGTAACTTACCTTATCCTGTATGTACTGACTGGGAGAGTTACTGCTCCCTGTATTGATTGATATTATCTTTATCTTGTGCTTATTGACTGAAAGAGTAACCATACCCTGCATACACTGGGAGAGTCCAGTTACCCTGTATTTATTATCTGCGGAGTAACACTATCCTGTATTTATTTCATGAGAAACTAACATTACCTTTATTTATTGACTGGAAGAGTAACACTACCCTGTATTTATTGACTGAAAGAGTAACACTACCCTGTATTTATTTCATGAGAAACTAACATTACCTTGTGTTTGTGAACAAGCAGAGTACCTTTGCCCTGCAATTATTTACTGGAAGCATTACTTTGCCACATCATGTATGTACGTAGTGGGCATTGGAAAGCATTCCCCTCATCCCCCATAAAACCATAACTTACCCCTTCAAATAACAACAGACACAACTTCTTGGATAAAACAGGCCACAGCATTTATTAACACAACCAAATACTATGTAACTCTTTTAACGTATAACGTACATAGTAAATATCATAAATTAACAAATAATTTGCATACAGTCATACAGTAACCGAAGAAAATGTCCTTGCCAATCTAAGTCCTTCTTCCCAAGGCTCTCACCTCCCCTCCTCGGCATAATAAAAACATCTTCCTCTTCATGGCTCCCCACCAGCCGGTTTTCCGTTCAGTGGGGCCCAACCATAATGCTCCCCACCGGTTGTCTTACAACCCAGTGGGGACACGTCCAACCTGGTACCTCCTCCAGGTTCACCATAAGAGAAAGGGGGAGGATGAGACCAGGCCATTATCCCCCGTTTTCATCTAACCTACAAAACCATCCCTTATTTGGCAAGGATACATCCCCGCCTCGCTGTGACAACCCCCCGGGCCCAAAGTAGCAAAGGGAGGGTGGGTGGGAAACTGGTTGCTGGCCCGGCTCTTAAGTAGCACTGAGGTCAGTCTAATCTGTCACCACCCATTTCCTCACATCTCACACTCCCACAAGTAGCACATAGCCAATCATGCATCATCCATCCCACACTCATACATGTGCCCCTGTCCACTAAGCTGCGCACTCTCCCTGGGGCCTTATCAAATGCTGTCAGCAGCTACCTAACGGTTTGTTGGTTGTTAATCCTAATTAATCACTTGCATGTTATGACGCCTTCTAAGAGTTTACACAGGACATTCAGTAAATATGTCCCGAGGTGAAGCACATTAGGTTCACCTGTGAACTGCCTATAATTACCAACTACATCGATCACAAACCACACACAAACTGGAATACTAGACCGTTGCCCTAATCATACCTCCTAATTGTCCCTAGTTTGGTTTCCAATCCATCTGTCCTTATTTTCTCTCCTAATGTCCCTCTTTTCTAGAAACTTCATATTGTTGGTGTATCTACGTGCACACCACAGCTCCAAAGCATTAATACTCACAGCAATGTCTTTAAACTACAATAAATAGCATTTGGAGTTTTTGACACACCAGAATATTTGACACACACGTACAGTATATTTTAACTTAAATTTAGACAAAAAAAATAAAACAACCTATTACCTGATTACAGTAACATTCCGTTTATGCTTATAGGGGATCTAATGTGTGTATGGTGTGTATAGGCGGTCTCTAAATGAAATCTGGCAGTGTCCTTGCCTCATTATTATTATTATATGTGTCTGTCTGTGAGTGTGACCAGCGCCTTCCAGTCATGTGGGAAAGTTGTTTTTATTCACCTTTTTTCCCACGCAGTGCCGTCTCCCAATTTCTGTCCCCAAATCTATTGCTGAGATAATCAATCTTGATGATCTCAGGCAATCCAGTTCTTTCCCAAAGTATTGGGAGGTTATTGATCAGGTTCTGCAAAACGCTGCACCAATCAGCATCTCCTCAGGGTCAAGGCATCTCTATTGCGAATGTTCAACACCTCCATGCAGAGAGTGGAGACTCTATATGCATGTGCTACACACTGTGCAGAACTGGACTAAGAATCACCTCTAGTGGCTGTCTGAGTGACTGTCACTAGAGGTGTCACTAGGAAGCAATGTAAACTCCGTATTTTCTCTGAATAGGCAGTGTTTAGATTGAAAAGCCTTCAGGGACAGGATATACACACCACTACCTTAATATACATACATAAGGTGGAGCTTGTATAAATCTGTAAAAATAAAACAAAACAGTGGTGCAATATTGCCAGTTCAAATATTTCAAAGTTACTCACAAGTAAAGAGCCATTAACCTCATATGGCTCTGATGGAAGGTGTAGTAGGACGCTTAGAGGAGGTCCAACTCCTATTACTCCCGGTCTGTATTGTATACCACTGGTAACCTGGACACAGGATGCTGGAGATGTTGCTTTTAAAATATGCTTTATTTAAAAAAAATCAATAAAATAAAATACATAAGTATTGTATGGTATATGGATGCTATGGTCGTGGAGTGTGCGGAATAGTCCAAAACGCGTTTCGCCCTTCTAATGGGGCTTCCTCAGTTGGTTTTAGTCACTTGCTGTGTCTGCTCTGTTTTAAATGTGCCGATTTTACTCTAATTCCGGTTTGGAGGTTGCGGTACGTCACTGCCGGTATTTCTCCGCAGTGGAACACGTGCGTTCCAGACGTCCCATAGGTGTAATTCTGACGTCTGGAAACTTTGTTACTCGAAATTGTCTGCTCATATTAAGGGGAATAGGGATGTGATTGTATATATTCCTGTTGCTACAATTTGGCATATATATAGCTAAGAAACAGAAGTGCAACTGCATATCTATGTTGTGTATTCCTGTTATTGCTAATTAGCATGTATGTAGCTGACATATATAGCTTGTTAGAAGAAACAGGGGTGCAATTGCATATATGTGTTGTATATTCCTGTCTTTTACACTTTAGCATAAATAGCAGAAACAGAAATATGCATAATACACTTTTGATGTCTGAATTTCAAACCAAAATCTAATCTTGAAAATGGGATTGTTACTTATTTTAAAGGGACACTATAGTAACCAGAACAACTACAGCATATTGAATTTGTTCTGGTGAGTAGAATTGTGATGGAATTTCGGTGAAATGTAAATTTAGTAGGCCGAGATTTCCACGTGGCATATGTGTATCAGTTAGTTAGTTACACGTAGCTAAGATACTGTCATCAATGTACTGAGCATGTGCAGGAATGCAGGAACTGAAATCACACTCTTTTCTCCTTTGTTTCGGATGAGCCATGTGGTCTGCCCATATGAGGAAATCCAAATCCTGTCCACTGATTGGTTAAGGGTATGTGCGGGTGGAGCTATTAATGGGAGGAGTTATAGTTCTATAAAAAGCATGTACTCCATGTGTTCGCCCCTCAGACCTGTTTTGGAACGTTAGTTCATCTGAGGCCCAATTGGTATGTTAATAAAGACCTCTTACTTCCTGAAAACCTGCATCCATCTCTCTGTGTCTGGCTTCTGCAAGTTTACTCGGTTACATCTTTGGTGCATTGGCCGGGAACCTAATCGCACGGAAGCTGGCGCAGAGATTTGAGACGGTAAAACTTTTACCAACGTTCTCTGCGGCAGCACCCCTGAACGTCTGCGTGGACATCCCTTCATCTCGGCGCCACTGGGCTGCTTCGCCCAGGAGATCATCGGCCTTTACGTAGTAAGTACCGGGGTGCCCCGTCGATGAGTGTTGTGGCGAAACCAACCTCGCCACTGTGAACTGGAGAAGCCTGGTTGCTCGCCTGCTCCCTTTGGACTATGGCCCTGCAGGTTAAACCGTTTATTTGCAGAAAGAAGTTATTTTGTGTGATCTGAGTGCCATTCATCTAATAATGTGCACTCAGATCCCAGCTATCTGGGGATATGTGAAATGTCTTTGGTTATGTGTAAATGTGACTTATGTATTTTAAAGTGTTTTGTGGTTTTTGCAACCATGTGCTTAATGGAGTAGGTCTATCCTGGGAGATAATTGAATTACTCTCCAGGATAGAAGACTCTGAAACTGGTTTCAGAAAGCCATGCTTCATTTAGTCACAAAGGACTTTTTACTAACTTTTGAACCCCTTGTCTGATTTGTGCCATTTTTGAATATGTTGTTCCCCTGAATGGATTGATTGTGCATATGTAATTTCATGTGAATGTGATGTATGGTTTTAGAGTTATGAAAGTTGGGTAGAAAGTATGTTTTAACTGTATGTATAATTGAGTTTCCTCTCAGGATAAGGGGAGGGAATATGTGGGATGTAACCGTGATGTGATTGGTTGTTTTGTAACGCCCTGTGGGCTGTACTATGTTTGTGGATTGGGAATAAAAGAGACTGTATGTGACAGTACAGGAGTTCCTGTTTTAACCCTCAAAGTGAAGTGTCGTCTCATTATTGGGGGAAGGATTTATTGTATGCTGTTCCAGTTTGACTGCTAGGAGAGTAAACCTATTCGTATGGTTCCCATTCAACTGTCTACAGCATTCATATGCTTGAGAGCATTCATATGCTTCTCCGGTTCGGTGGTTGTGGTGTCTGCCAGAGTGCTTGGAATCCTCAGGAAGCGCTAGGAGCATCCTTCAACGGAGGTACCCAGTCGGGGTGCCAGGCGATCCGTTACAAGTGTAAGCCCAGGTTCAGGAACGAAGAGGTAAGACTGATACCGTTAGAGCGGTAGGCCCACAAGGGGTTTTATATTTGGAACCGGTTATTGGATTGGCCCCTCCCTCTGGAGGGAAGAAGCAAAGGCGCAACGCTTATCTGGAAATTAGAGGCTCTTTAGTCAGCCCGTCTAATATAGGTGGTTTGGGTCAGGCTAAATCTTGGTGTAAATAGTTTATGCCGGACACCGGTGTTCTGTCTTGACTAGCGTGTCTAGGTGTAAATTTCAGTCGCGAGGCCGGCGAGACTAAGCAGATTTTGGTGTACATTCCGTCTGCTAGTTCTCAACCTATCTTGGCTTAGTGTGCCCGGTTGTAAATTCAGCCACTAGACTATTGATAGAGTAGATAGGCTAAATGGATACTGTTATAAATTCCGCCCACTCGTTCGCTATATGTGGTGCTTGGGCAGCGTAGACTAACCGAATCCTGGTGTAAATAGTTTGATAGTTCTCAAGGTGCTGGCCAATTAGAATAGTTGGGATTATTATAAATGTTGTTAAATATACCGTAGTTGGTGAATTGTATGTCCTGCTAGAAAGCTTGAGCTCTGCCGTCTAGTGGGAGTGTAAATTGTGTGTATACTGTATAATAGCGCACAGTATTATAACCATTAACATGTACTATAACTACTGATGTTGTGTAAAAATTACTAAAAACTATTGTCTTATGTTATGTGTAACACCATAACTGTTACTAACTGATCTGTGACTTTAAAACTGTATTATAATCACTTGCTAACCGTACCATAACCACTGATTGTAAAGATGAGGTTACTAGAATGTGATATAGTCAGTTAGTTAAAAGTTGATTTATAATGTGGATAATTGTAGGGTTTGATTTATAGTTACAGAGATAAGTATCTAGTGTTTGGTAAATCTTTGTGAGTGAGACGTCGTGATATCACTGTATGTACGAGAATTCTCTGCGTGTTTTCGTGTGTGTGTGTTTGCCCTAGCAACTGTGCCACGTGGTGCTGTTGCCAGGGAAACAAGTGTGATCATTGGAAGTGTGTTTGGGGTATTGTGTTTCTTTGTATTAGACACTCCGTTGCCAGTATGGGTGCGTCTGACTCAAAGATTGTTGATCCCTTGTCGTGTATGTTGAAAAACTTTGCAAAGGGATATAAAGTTTGTGATTTTGGGGTGAAATTATCCCAAAAGCGTTTGACTACATTATGTAGTAGAGAGTGGCCTATCTTGGTGACCGCATGGCCTCCACGTGGTAGTCTTGATCTAGCTCTAGTGCAACGTGTGCACGCGGTTGTATCTAGTAAGCCTGAGTTCTTTGATCAGTTTCCATATATTGATTGTTGGAAACAGATTGTGGAAGAATTGCCTAAATGGATTAAGGTATGCCATGAGGAGCAATGTCACCTCATGGTGGCCAGGACTCGCCTGTCCATCAGGGCCGCAACCCCGCCCATTTTAGACTCTCCCTCTGCTGCTGGTGTTGGCATTCCCCCTTTTCCCATTGTCCCTGCCCACTCATTCATCTAGTTTAGAGCCCACTTGTTCCCCCTTGCCCTGAGGCCTCCCCTTCCGGTACCTACCTCCACTAGTTCTATATATCCGATACCCACTGACCCCCTCCCAGCAGAAGAGCTGGCCTCTGGGCAGAGCTCTGTTAGCCTCTGCCCCCCCTTTTCCCCTGTATCAGAGCCTGACTTACCACGGGTTACCCCAGTGGAAGAGCTGGCAGCAGGGCAGAGCGCCGCTGGCCTCTGCCCCCAAGCAACACCAGCAGTTTGCCTAGCTGCACCAGGGAGACCGAGAGTGCTGTGCTGTCCCACTACAAACTTGAACCTACAGGCCAGTACCATTTATTGTGGGGGGTTACTCTGTGTATTTTTCTTTGTGGGTGGGCTGCCCGACTAATCTAGGTACTGACCGGCAGAAGGTCAGGTACCTGTTTAGTCTTCCCCCCAAAGGGAAGATGTGTGACGAAGTGCCCTTCGCCACTTGTGCCTGGAGAGGACTGCTTGCCCGCCTCTTGCCTTGTGACTATGGCCCCTGGTTTGTATTGCCCTTTAAAGACATGATTTGGGCATAATGGATTTGTGTTGTGCCGCTGCTGGCCCTTTAAGAACCATCTGGGGACATACTGTGGAGTTACTGGGCGGCCACCATTTCATGCATCAGAGGCACATGGTGAGAACAATGGATGAAGCACATGGTGAGAACAATGGATGGCGGCCATTTTAACTCACAGACACTGTTTGGGCTTTTCAACACGGTGCCATCTCGCCAGTATTTGGTGCACAGAGACATCGTGCAGTGGTTTTGGAATATACAGCAGGGGACACATTATAAAGTGATTGTTTTTCATTTAGCCTGTATATGTTCTGCAGAATCTGCATTAAACTGTATTTTCCAAAGTACTGAACGGATCTGGGTGAATTTTGGATATGTGGTTCACCCAGATCCCCTGGTTCCAAGGATATACTTTTTATGGGGTTATTGCATGTTTTGGGGTCCCTGTGTGTTTTATGAAACTGTATTATTTCTGGCTAGCAGATAATTGAGCTTTGTGTATTGTAGAAACTCAATTATCTAGCCTGGCCCAGAGGAGGAGTTTTGTGTTGCATAAATTGTGAGTTCTGTGTGCCAGTAAATCAGTCTTGTTCCAGCATTAAGCTTTGGCTCATGTTTGGGAGAAGGGATACCTACACTCTGGGGATTGCTATAATCACTTACTCCCCAGAGGAAGCTCTTGCAATAGCTTGATTTGTTCCTGTTCCTGCTCTCTGGGAAAAGAGAGGTTCACCCACTGGAAGCTGGATCCTGGCCTTGGG